CTGTGACATCTGCCTTAAAGGCTAGCATACAGCAAGGGGAACTGTGACTTGAATTTATGCATTAATGTTTGGAAACTCTCAATCTGCCAATTTATAATACCTATACTTTATTCGACATCTTGATCCTTTTGTTGGTGTTGGAGGTTATCCCATCTTAGTGCCATCAGAGCTGCTGTTCTTTGCATGCGTACCATGATTGCAAATGCTGCTTGCCAGTCTTCATTTTCTTTTGTTTCCTTTTCCTTTTCATTTGCTCCTAGCATATTACGCATGTTCATACAGTGTGTCCAGGCTACTATGCAAAATGTGTGTGCTCAGGAGTGAGGCTGTTAGACTGCTCTTGAATGTGGCATAGCGCAGAGGAAGTTTATGACTCCTTGGTGAATGGCATCTGGAGATATGAGGTAGAATTTCCAGCAGGGATTCAGGCCAGCAGCATTAGAGCATATGGGATATGTTAGAATATGTTCTTGTGGTTGTATTTTGGGTTGTGTCTGTTTTGCCTCAGATGATGAAATGGGTCAGCTCTACATGCAGTAATGGATAACTGCTATGTGAAAGGTATCTCTCAAATCATTTTTAGATATAAAAATGATAACATTCTGAAAATGTTGAATGACGGTTTCAATTTGGAAAGTGATGACTAAAAATGTCTTAGATGTCAGATTCTTTCCACACAGAATGGCAATTCATATTATCATGCCTTTGACAGCAAGTACATTAAAGTTTTAAGGTCTTGCCGCAATGCAAAGCATCACGATTTTGTATTGTTCATGTCTGTGGCAATGTATTTTAGTAACACTTTGTTTAATTCCAGTGCAGTACATTTCCTACATTCAAAAACCTTTATGGGAGTAGCCTGTCATTTATGAGATCCTGTTGCTTGCATTTTAAGCTCTTTGCAGTTCTTTTTTTGCAGCTGAATTCTTTTCCCAGTCCTGTTAGTTCAATATAGGAATAGTGTCATTTCTTAGACAAGGGCAGTGTTGGAGCTGAACTGGAAAAGCAGATTTCTTTTCATCATCCCCGTGGAGTCAGCCATTAAACTGGTAATGTCCTCCATCTCATTTACTGTCTTAATGCCATACCTTGAGGATGGATCAGTGAAAGCTGAAATGCGTTTGAATAGTATTTTGCCACTAAATTCTTTTCACCATTTCTTAGACCTCTGTGATAGAAAATGTAGGCACGATTAAACAATGAGTAGTATTCAAAAAGAAAGCTGAAGCCAAAGTGGACCTTTGCTTCCTTTCTTGTTAGAAATCTGGAATTTAGAAGAGTTGTACAAAAATGTAGATGTGTATCTATTTATTTTTCTGCTGTGAGTCTTGATTGCGTCTCCCATGTAGCCTGTATTATCATAGGTAATTGAGAGGACATTGGCATCTAATTAAATCTGCAGTATGTGAAGTTGTATTTTTCTTCTCAAGTAATCTGTTTCAGAAATAGAAATGCATTGTGTCAGTGAGGTCTTCCAAGAGTTTAAATAGCCCTTTACCCTTGCCTGGTAATTTTACATGCTGCCAATTAGCAAAATGAGATGGGATTTCCTTTCAGAGCCTCATGATTTTAATTGGAACTTCAGTACAGAAGAATAATTAATAACTTGTAGCCTGTCCAGCTAGTAAAGCTGTGTCTCAGATTAATGAACCATGTATTTTGCACATTGGTCTGTGAATTGAAAAATGGACTAGTTAAAAACTGGTTAGTTATTTCTGTAATTAATGTTGATTATTGCACGGAAGTATAATGGCAATTGGAGATGAAGCTCCTGCTATTCATAATACTTATGAGTATATGTGATTTTAAATGGAGAGCATTTGGTCAACTTCAGGAAAAACAAAAGCCTATGTGTTAGGTTATTTGGGTGCTTACACAGATTAAAGCCAAGAAATGCTAACTTCTTTTTTCATTCGATGCATGTTCTTCTTCACTTACTGAAGGACCTATCAAATATTGGAAACTCCTGAGTAACTGAATATGATACAATTGTCTTACTCCAATTATAAGCACTGTACTCCAAATATAAACATGATGATGAGCGTACTCTAAAATAGAGAGCTATGCTTGTAACATATGCCAAAGATAACTATGTTGATCTGTCAGAATTTTATTTCACAGTATAAAACGTGACTTTCAGTTTTCTAAAAATTCCTACAAACTGTTTTGCCTCCCATGTTTTGCACGTTCTCTCATTCCCTACCTATTAATTTTTGTGTAGAAATCTCTTCTACTAGAAATCTTTATCTTCTGTAATGCGTAATGAGTGCATATATGTTGTTTTTCATATTTCTTTGTTGTTTTCTCTTAATCAGAAGTAAGATTATATAATGTGTACTGCATTGCAGTACTAATTATTTTTTCCACTTTATTTTTTTATGTTTGCACGCATGCTCACATACTGTGCCTTTGAATATAAAACCACTTTCTGTGAGTGTTTTTGTGTTGACTACCCTGAATAATAGTGAAAAGGAGATTACGCCTTTATGCCTGTAATTAATACATAAGCAGGAGTATCATTTAGGTTTTTTATTTTATGAATGTGTTACATCCACATTTTATTGTGTTAACAATAAATGGACTTGTAATAAATAATGCAATTTTGAATCTAGCTTTAGATAGAGGAAACCTGAAGCTTTCAAATTTTTACATAAATTGAGAGTTTGGGAATATAATTTTCAAAGTGCTAACAGGAGTGACAGTCTCCCAGTGTATGGTTGTAATTCCTTCAGTTCTGACTTACACGGGAGCCTCTTTCAGAGACATTCTGAGAATACAGTAGAAAGGCCTTCAAAAGTATGTGAATAGTTTTAATGTAGAGCCTAATACTGTTAATATAGGCATCTATGTACATTGGTGAGGATACAGGCAATGCATACTCTTCCAATAAGATAAACTGCGCGCACATGAATGTTTTAAAGATGGGAACTACTTTTTTTTCTAGCATGGTGTGCTAAATGTCCTTTTGAAATATAGACTTCTAAATTCTGTTAGAATAGTAATAAAAATACATGAGAACTAGATAAGAGAAACCTCTAGATACTAGTTAGCAAAAAATGTATATTGTTTTAATTGCTGATACTTTTTTAACCATTGTGTAAGCCTGTAGGCTTACAATAACTATTAACATAGTTGAAAGCAGAACTAGATTTAATAAGAAAATGTCAGTGGATTGTTGTGAACCACACTGGGAAATGTAGCAGAAGGAACCAATTGTAAAATCAAGAGATCTGGTTCATTTTTCTGTTGCTAGTTTAATTTATCATATGCTGAAAACCTCATCAATGTATATATAAGCTTCAAAGTGCACTTGAGAGATGTTGTATTTAATGAGTTCTTAATGCATCACACTGAAGTTCTGTGTAGAACAGCTCTCCTTGGTAGATTTGTTCCTGCATCAGGTCATTGCAGTAACCCATCGATTTACTCGTGTATGTGCTAGCTTCAGATAGAAGAACGCATTAATGTCAGCCATGTGGGGTAGTGGCACCCTGCTTCTTGCATCTTTATCCAGCAGAGTCATGTCCAACTATTTGATTTTTTTTTTAACCTATCTGCCAGTACCTTTGTGGCCAAATCCCAATGGTAAAGCTTGCCTCAAAAGTGCAGTACAGACCTGATCTTTGTTACCTACATGCCAATATAGGACTAGAGATGAATGAAAGAATACTGGATATGGATGTATAAAAGGAAAAGGCAACAGTTATTTTCAGTCCTAACTGTTCATTTATCTATGATGCATCTTCCTCCTGTGTATCATTTGTCAGACCTAACAGTAGCCATTTGCAAAGTCATCAGTGGAGCCTAGTGAGTAGTAAGATAATCCTTAAAAGCTGGAATTACTTCTGTCTGAAGAATTAATGGAGTTCTGTGCCATTGTTGTAATCTTCAGTCAGTTCAAAATATGCAGAGCATTACACAGAAAATTCATTTTGTAGCATGGAGATATTTCCACATCACAATTCAGTTTCACCCAATTCACAACAAAATCTATTTATTTTTCAGTTCTCTGTTAAAGGGAAAGTTTGAATTTTTTTCAGTCAAAATTGATCTTTATAAACTGCTTTAAGCTCTGGTGGGTGCTTAGATGCTTTCATCCTTGACTCTGGGGAGGTTTTCCTGATTGGCTACCCCAGATCTATAGATTCTTTGGAAGGCTAATTACCATCACCACTCATGCTGAGGTGTTCTAATGAAACGGAATAAAAGCTCTCTGTCTGACAGGAGGCAGCCTCCAAGGCTTGGGTATGCTGGGCTATTTTATTTTTTTAATGAACAGTAAATTCCTGATATTTTCTCTCTTTACTGGAGAATAACTGTATCTCAAAATCCTATGCAAGTCTGATGTCAGTGTCCTTGAAGATACATGTCGTTGAAGAGGTAAACTAACCGGAAATGTCGTACTGCTAATAGTATGGGAAATCAAGAAAAGATGCTCAGTAGTCATTACGGAGATTAGTTTCAACACCAAGGAATTTTCAAGATGATGTTTGTAACACATGAAAATACGTAAGGTTTCTAAGTCTAAGCAAGCGTCCAGGGAGTAGAGAGAAAGTTGACTCCACTCACATTTCTTTTTAAATCTTGCCTAGTCGAGCCTCATCTGAATATAATCTCCAGCTCACCAAACTTGTTTGGCAGTATCGCAGTAAAAGAGGTAAAAATCTAACAGTTGCAAATCTCAAATGTGATCATCAGTGCTGTTTCCTCAACGTTACGTCATTCTTAAGAATTCTTGATGTCGTTAGCCTTTGAAAATATTTTTACATGAATTGGGAAACTTGATGAATCAGTCTTGTTGGCTTTTGATTTTGTCCTTTCAAAGGATAGCTGCTTTATTTATATGACAAGCATTTTAGGATGGCATCTGTCTTTAATCTGCTTGTGCTGATATTAGAGTGAGAGCCTGATGTATATAGTGCCCCTATCCTAACAGTAATTAAAGTAATAACGTTTTCTAGTATCTTCTCTTAATAGTTACTCCTGTTTTCTCTCCTCAGCTTTCTTTGTTAGAAGACGCAGGGTTTGGTGGTGTTCTTCTTTATGTCGATCATTGTGATTTACCAAAGACTACAGATCTTGCTGATAAAGCTTTTATGGTTTCCTTGAATAGTGGAGGAGATCCATCGACACCTGGCTATGCCAGTATTGGTAAGTACTGCCTGAGACATATTCAGTTAATGGACATTTTAATTGTGCACAGATTCTAAGTATGGGAATTAAAACTCCAAATGAAATCTTACCTGAATGGAAACCTTTGATAAGGGAACATTGTGTAATGCAGCATGGCTCAAAAGTGCTTTTCTTCAAACTCTTGGCACGAAGTCTGCACTTCAAGTAATTTATTTGTTTCTGTTTTTATTGATATATTCACATAGTATACTATTTGTCTGCTTGTTTTTACTCTATAAAAAAGGAGCTATGAATTGTTTCTACAGTGATATCTCAGCAAGTTCCATGGTGCTTGTTCCTATTGAAAGAAGTATTTTTCCCTTAGTTTTTCTTACTCTTTCATGTAGGGTTTCCATGATAATGGAAACATATGGTCAATAAGTGCAAGTTCAAAAGTCCAGTGTAATAAGAGATACACATTTTAAAAGATCTAAAAACAGCATTTACATCTCAGCACAATTATCACTTGAATTAAGATATTTTCTTTAAGTTGTATCTCAGTTCTGCCTGGATAGACTTTTACCTCAAATGTTTATCTAAATAAATGTTCTTTAGAATTGAGGGGGAGGGGGAACCGGAAAAACTGATTTTTTTCAGAAATATTTAGTGTTTTTATTCAGTGTTTTTAAATGTTTAACAGTTTGGTGATTTTGTTGTTGTTGTTAGTTTGTTGGTTTTGTTGTGGTGTTTTTGAGTGGTTTTTAACCACTGCTAACAATAAGAAGATATAATTTATTTGACTGGTAAGCACTACTTTAATTTCCCTTCTGGCAGTTTAGTGGCTGTATGTTGTCTGCTACCTGTTCAACTTTACAGTCTTTTTACTGTTCTAACTATTGGGAAATGTATTCAGAAGAAGTCTATGAGTTTGTGACAAGGCTTTATCGAGAATATTTAATCCAGTTATTTGCTCAGACACCTCAAGTTTGACTTGAACTGGCACAAAATCGACTGATGCAATGCTGAGATACTTTAGGATTAGTATGGCAGAAAATAGAAATATTTGCCTGGTTGTCAAAGAAGGGTGTTAGCTATTCACAGCATGAATGCCTTGACAGCTCTGTAGGAAAGCAATTGCACATTTTCTTGGTGTCTCAGTGTACCTGACCTAGTCTTCTTAAAAGTGTCCTGGGAGTTAGGGAGGTAAATGTAACAGTCTTCAAGCTTTATTCTTTGCTCATTTTGCAGAGCTACTTGAAAAATAGCTTTTTGTTTATCTACGTGCCTGAGTCCTTAATGTTTTATTTACCCTACATGAATAGAAAAGCTAATTAAAACAGATATAGCAGCATGAAGATGCCACTTCAGTTTCTAAACACTTATGCGTTAGCTTGCTGTCAGTAAATTGTCTTAGTGACTGCATGCGTTCTAGCCTGTACTGTGAGAAAAAGAAGCTTGATTATGTAGAAAATGATGATATCCTTATAAGTACATTATCAGTTTACCACTAGAACCCTTAACATGGCTTATCTGTGATTTTAAATCTCTGACTACTATTCACAAGCATGAATAGGCTGTCAGGTTCCTATAATCATTTATGTTTTGGTCACTGACTGCAATAACGTGCTGGAAAAAACTCAAAGGTACACTTGGAGAAGTGGTTTGTTGTTGTTTTTTTTCAGTTATGTCACTGGAAGGTAGATCAAGTGGAAGTAAATTTGTCTTTTCTAGTGATGATTCACTGAATAAATTTTGTTAGAGGTAACGTAAGCCTGGGACAAATACAAATAATCTGGAGCACAGACTTTTGCCTGAAGGATGTGGTGGCCTGTGAGGTGGTTAAACAGACAACACGTAGTTTGAAAGTGCCAGATACCCAGGGCTGCCCACATGACTTCGATTCACAGAGTTTAACATGCACTACAAGAAATTTTATTGGAAGCTCCTGCTTAAGTTATTGGCACGCCTTTGATACCATCTGCAGTTCACGTATTGCCAAACTGTTACTATTCAATCCTGGGGACTGCTCTAACACCATACTCCGTTTTATTAAAAGTAGCTAGTAATATAAGCATTAGTTGGTTGATGAGCTATTCTCTGTGATAACCATCATTTTACTAAATAATGATAGTAAATAAACAGTCCTGTGCTAGCTGAATAAAATGCATGAGACTTGTGTTTCTGTGCTTCTGCCTTCTGTTTTTCAAATTATTGTAATCAGAAAACAATTTTTTTCTGTGACTTTTGGACTGTTTCAATCTTTTTTCCTAGAAAAAAAATCTTCAGGGCGTGATAAAATTTGGAGAGATCTCTACTTCAAGTTAAGAACGTTTTTAAATGGAGTTTGTTTAATAATTCTGAGAATACTTTGGACCTTCCATAGTTTAGATCAAACCTTCAATTTAGCGAAGATGAAATGCTATGCTGCTCCATCTGGATTATTTTAGGATGCACAGAAATAGCTTGATGGTGGCTTAGAGATTAATACTGCATATGAATTGAATGATTTCTTTGATCTCTGTTTGATAAACAGAAAACAATACTGATATGAAAAATCAAAAGAATTTATGTAAAAGATTCTGCAGCCTTGTTTGGTAATTTGAGTCTCTTGTTCTTAAGACTCTCCCAATCCTATGAATTTTAGAACAATAACATGAGCATTTGTTAGCATCGTTCTTTCTTTCTGACAATGATTTCCAAAGGCTTGTGACCTCCATTTAGAGAAATCTTTCTTCTGTTTTGCTGCTTTTGAAACAAAATTGTTCTAAGGCTGAAACTCAGGAAATTATTCATACCTGAATAAGCTTGAAAGGGACGTGAGACCTGCAAAGTAAAAAGTATCCTCAAAACAAAGGTTAGAGGAATGGCATAAAACTTTGGTGACTTCCACCACCTCCATTTTTTTTTAATCTATTTTGATTTTCTGAATGCTGCAATTCCTTTCATCTACCTGTGTATGGCAGAGATGCATTAGATTTCTTCATTTCTGTATTTCAGAATCATTTTAAATCAAAGTTTCCACTGATATGTAAATAGAACTGTGTCCTCGTGATGAGCATGAAGAGCCCTTTCCCTGGCATAAGGCGCTATATAATAGAAGATCCCTATCGGTGTAAATATGGAATAGAAATTATCTCAGGAAGAATTCCATTACTAATGTTTCAAGTATCTTGTAGTTTTAGAGATCTGTTAGGTAGAAATTAAAACGGAAAGGCAAATGGTATAAAGTTATTATTTGGAAGTAGTCAATGCTTCAAATCACTGTAAACATCTTGTCACGTGAGCAACAATCCAGAGACTAGGTAGAAAGAGTAATTATTACGTATGGGGAAATGCATAGTGTAGCTAGAATTCTGAATTGTGAACTTCACATTCAGGCTAGATAATTACTGTGAGTGTTCCTCAGACATCTCTAACAGGGTCTGACTGAGTAGAGGACAAGGGTGATAGGGAATCAGTGGATTCTTGATCCCATGCTTCATGGTTTGAGTGGGACCTTGAGATAACTGATCTAGTGTCAGGTGTTGGAGACTGTTTGGGTATAGGTGGGCTTTAGGGAGGTTCCTTCCAACCCGAAGCATTCTTGTGATTTTGTTCATCATTACGTGCACTCATTTCTAGTAAAAGACAATGTTCAATATGCTTAATGGCTGTCTTTTTAATGTTGTGAAGTATCAAGGATTGTTTTTTTGTGATGTACTTTAAAAATGTTCACAGAATTCAGAGTGGGATAAAAGGTCAAGAACAAAGCCCTGATGCAGAATTGAGGTTGGGAGATGTAAGCTTCCCAGGTCAGTCAGGAGAACAGTTCCACACAAAATAAGTCGTTAGAAGAATAATTTCACTTTATAATGAAGGGGAAAATCATGTTGTAGTTCAGCTTTAAAAGTGCTATGATGCCTGGAAAAGGCAGTGAATATGGTGAGGTGCTACACTAATTGGGCAAGTAACGTTTATTAACATAATTGTTCAGCAGAAGCTGAGTAAAAGAAATTGTGCTAGTTGTTTGAGCAATCATTCAGAATACTCAGAGGATGCGATTTCGCATTCTTAAAATGAAATCTGAACTATGTCTATTGGGTGCAACTGGAGAGGGGATTCAGGGAAGAAGGCTCAGGTTCACGCGGCAGTCTTGGTGGAATGAGGTCAAGGGCTGCCCTGCACCAGACGCAGCTCGCTCCAGCTGGCACCTCCACAGCCCCCTGCGTGCCACAGCTGAGCCCATCTGTGATCTTGGTGGCATCTCAGTGCACCATATTCGATACTGATATTTTACTGCAAAAGTTAAAGAACAATAAATATGCATCAAAAAGCTCTTGGCATTTTGCTGTTTTGTAATGTGTCATTCTAATTGATCCAGTTCTTCTATAGTGAATACAGGGAACTTTTTGGAATACGAGTTAGTACATGCTGTGACAGAAATGTGTCTTTCTGTATATTTGATTCTGTATATTTGTGTCCTTCCTGCCTTTTATCTAAGTTTGTCCTCACTATCCTCTACTTTGTGATATTTTACTCCTCTGAAACAGCCTACTGCACTGAAGTTAATAAAAAGTGGGACATTCTGTGACAATTTCCTCCATGCATATGCAACAAATGTTCTAAAATGTCTTATTGTAAATCATTGTGATTTCTTACAGGATGTCCTCAGCCTTTGTTTGTCTGTTGTTTTAAAAGTCAAAACTCAGATACAAGATAGTTTTTCTATGTATGCCTTTGCAGCTGTGGAAGTGGCCTTGAGAATCCAGTTTGCTTTTTTTTCTTCCAAATTTTATGTTCACTTTCTGCTAATGACATCAGATGAGTGAAATCTGTAGGTAACTAGGCATGGAGATTCAGAGTGACAGTCAACATTAAGAGGAGTAAGGATGCTGGGTTTGTTTTGTTTTCCTTAAGGGCAAACTGAAGCTAAGAAAAAAGAAAAGTTTGCAGCCCCATCTTTTAATTTCAGGATGTGTGTGTATGTTTATATACGTGCTTGGTCAAATGTGGTTTTGTTTATGACATGATCTTAGTGATTGCTGTAAACCCCAATCTTT